CATTCTCTATTTTCATAAGAAATAGCCTATCCATTAAAATTATATCTCGTTTAGAAGTTGTTTGACCTTGTTTTCGCAACTTGGTCATATTAGTAGGAAGACCTAGGGGAAAGCAACTAGTCCGGAGTCCATAGTATGCATGATAATTTCCAGAGTCGGATCGCGGACGTGGTACATTCTCAGACGTTTCGCCGGTATCATCAGTGAGCTTTGCCCTTTTTAGCACCACACTACAACTCGTCAAAGAGACAAGTGAAGCCGATCCTTTGACCAAAGGTGTGCTAAACAATTATGGTATCTCCCCTTCTGCCTTAGGTTATTCGCGTTTCCGGTATCATCCTATCATGCCTTCACTATTACAATTTTTATCGTGTTTATTTAGATATAATTTGGCGTGCTCCTTTGAGCGACATGAAACCTTCACACTTCAACTGTCGTTCTCCCTTCGCCTCATCCTTGTGCAGGGAATTTCGATCAGAGTATGTTTTATTATTATGCAGTCCTTTTTCCTAGTCTTATCCCAGTATCTCTGTTGCTCCGTAAAATCCGTCTACTCTAACCCCTTGTTTATCTATTTCACTCGACTCCTGCCACCACATCTGTCCTACTCGAGGCGTTATTCGTTCTCTCCTGCGTCAGGGTGACTAATTCGAGGCGCAAGCCTCTGAGTGTCATGGTCACCCTTTAGCTACTTGTACCACGCCTCTGGTATAACAGACCTATCGTCAGCCAACTACCTCCGGTCCCCGCCGTCTTTCCTGTTTCCATCTTGTAGTGTGGTGGCAGCATTCGAGTGAAATAGGTGAACAAGTGGTAGAGCAGACGGATTTTACGGAGCAAGAGAGAGACTAGGATAAGACTAGGAAAGAGGACTGCATAATACTAAAGCAGACTCTGATCAACATTTCCTGCACAAGTATGAGGGGGGAGAACGACAGCTGGAGTGTGAAGGTTTCATGTCGCTCAAAGGAGCACATCACACTATAAATGAACACGATACAAATTGTAATCGTGTAGGCAGGATAGGATGATACCGAAAACCCGAATAACCCAGGGCAGAAGGGGAGATACCATAATTGTTTAGAACACGTTTGATCAAAGGATCGGCTCACTTGTTTCTTAGACGAGTTGTTTTATGGTGCTAAGAATGGCGATACTCACTGACAATGCCGACTACGATGCCGGCGAAACGTTTGGGAATTAACCACGTCCACGGTTCAACTTCGGAAATGATCATGCAGACAATGGACTCCGGGCTATGTGCGTTCCTCTAAGTTTTCCTACCAATATGACCATGTTGCGAAAATAAGGTCAAATAACATCCATGAATTTAAGTTGCTTGACTTTGTCTTCTCAAATTGTTTATGTTGGCAAGAAAATTTGGAGGAGCACACTTTTTCCGGAGTCCATAATGTGCATGATAATTTCCAGAGTGGACCGTGGACTTGGCTCATTCCCAGACGTTTCGACTGCATCGTTAATCAGCCTTGTCATTCTTACCACCGCACAAAAACTCGTTAAATAGACTAGTGTAGTTGATCCTTTCACCAATTGTCTGCTAAACCGTTGTGGTATTTCTCCTTTGCTGGGCTATTCACCTATCCTATATTCTCGTATCACCCCTTCAATATCATAATCTTACTTGTTTATCTAAACGTATTTGTAACGTATTCGCACTCCCCGTCCGTTTCCACATCCCTCTCAATGTGCCGGGAGTTTTGATGCAAGGCTGCAATCCTCTCTTCGGATCCTATAAGAGTTCCCCTCCGTGAGATCTTTCCCTTATCTGCCTGTTTCAGTAATTTCATCCCATCACTGCCACCTTACGCGTGATACTCGAGGCGTTATGTTCTACACTCTGCCTCAAGCCTTTGATAGCACTTCAGCACCAGTCTCACTGAACAAACCCCTGAAGAGTGGATTCTCAATTAGCATGACAACCAAACGTGACGCTGCAGATTCAATTATCTCTGTGCGGAATGTGCACCGAATAAATTTCATGGTCAAGCCCCTTCTTCATGGACCACTTCTATAAACAAACTTATCTACTAATAGCCAAATATCAATGGCTTCCACCTTATATCTCGCTCTTCTATTCCTAATGCCAAGTACATGACTTTCTATTGTGTGCCGACCCCCAAATGTGATGATTCTACTTGATTTGAATAGGCTAACGGTAGACGTCTTCTCTTGGCTTCGACTGTTCCTCTCTGGTCCATTTGTAATTTCTTACACTCAAATTTAAAATATTACCTTGGTGCAGTCGTCTTCTTTTTACCGATATTGCTATTCCCTTATCTTCTCTCAGTTTGCTTAGGCAGTATACAAAGTTCTCGCTAATTCTGCTTTTTTCAAGTCTCCTGTTCATTATATTTATTTCAGTTAGGATATCGATGGCTTCTCGTATTTTGTGTTTTCTTGTCCTTCCACCATATGCAGTCAGACTTTATGTCGATTCCCACACTATTTCGTGTCCCGTCCGTGTGATATGCTCTTTTATTTCTAATCTTTCAATGTCCATGTTTCTGCAGAGTTTGGTATTCCTTCAATAAGGCTGATTTTTCAAGGAACACCAAAAGCTGCAGGAATATGACCGATTCGCAAAAACAACAGGTTACATAATCTTGGTCTTCATACTTTCGATTATTTAATTCCTTAATTACTTCCTAGATCCTTTTTTTCATTTTGTGTCATGAAGTTACTCATTGATCTATCACTAGCTACGCATTATTTAAGCCTTATTTGCAATCCTAACCACAAACGCACTGTCTTAGGTATGAAAATCAAGATGGTGTGGCCTTTTGTGTGGTCGCAGTCTCCTTTCGTTGTATAGAGGTTGTTTGACCTTGTTTCCGCAACTTCATTATATTAGTAGGAAGACATAGAGCAGCGCACCTAAGAGTGTGATGCTAAGAATGGCGAGACTCACTGACGATGCCGACTACGATTTCGGCGAAACGTCTGGGAATGTACCACGTCCACGGTCAGAATTTGGAAATGATCATGCACTGTTGTAAGTTTATTATAAGCAAGCTAACTGTTTATTCCATTTGCAGGAGGGACACAAGTTGTCTCGCAAGTCTGATAAACTCTTTGCTTGGTCTAAACGCACTTATATGGCTATGCAAAGCATTAGTTTCCCCTTTCACAAACATGTTTCACTCGGCGGGACATGATAATATCGTCGTTGCCATTATTTCTTGTTTCGAGCATGGAATATGAAAGAACAATGTAAGTTCATGAATGAGTGCAGCCGAAAGATTTCCCAGAAAATATCCAGACTCGTTGACGTAAGTTGATGAGGGGACGAAGTTCCTTATGCGGATCAATTTCCACAATGGTCTCATCAGTAAAATAATATTTATTTCATCTGTGATTTCTTGCCTTTAAAGGTTAAAGCTTGGCACTTTAGTGCACACATACATACATACGAATGCTTTTAACTTCTTTATACTTTGATATATTTTTTAGATAATTGTAAAAATTCAAGAAAACGAGGCTTCCATTCTAATGTATGAATTTTATTTCTTAACTAGTTCTTTATCCACCATAGGTTGTCTAATTTGAGTTAAGGACTGATAGTCTAATTTACCACACTAAAATTAATAGGTCTGACAATGCTACTGCATCTTGCCTAGCCTTGCTTCCAAAAAGGCCTTTTAATGCAGGCTTGACATAAAGTTAGTGATTGATCCTAAGCTCAGTCACATCCAACATAATTAATGTCATTTAAAAGTAGAGTTTCGAAATAATGTAATCGGTTTTTACAGCACAATTTTACTTCATCAACATCTTCGCCACAGAATGTGATATAGGAAGATGTCTGGCCTTCCTTGAAATGCACATTTGCCTTTTGACCCAATGACACTCGGGGCATTGTCGAGTAATGGTTAACGAGTCGAGATTACACTCTGCATAGTCGTTCGAATCCCTTGGAAAGTGTTTCTAAGATCTAGATCGAAACTGCAGTCCACCCTAGATGAAAACGCCTTTTGAAGAAGCAAGGTTGTGTGAAATTCAATGGAAGAGCTAGCTCTACTCATATCATTATGGGAAAATTCGACTGCCAGTCCTTCATCACCTTAAAAGAAATAGGGTGAATGCATTTCATATAAGTAATGTCGTTACGAGTTTGCCTAATCGACAATCCCACAATAGATATAAGTTTGGAGAGGCTTCATTGGCCTTGAACTGCTATGTGACTCACCCGAACCCGTAGCTGTGGTACTCTGTCACCACTTTACGCGTAATATTCGATTTTGAATTTCGTTTATTTCTTACTTTTGAAAATTATCATGAGTACTATAGCAGAGAATGCAAAATTGGATATGCTCCTTAAAATGTTCCTGTTACCCAAATCAAGTTGTGAAAACGAGGTCAAACCAACACTACATAGCTAGAGGATACTGAGACCCTGAAAGATAAGTGAAGCTTAATGGTATGGTGAGGCCTAACTACTTAATTGTAGGAGATTCAGCTATCACTCATACATTACCTTACAATACCTATGATGCTTAAGGTTGTTAAAGCTTTATTACTCCCACTTATCCCTTTCAACTTTGGCAATCTCGATTGTGTTTATGCACTACGGCCATCATATCTTTATAAAAACACTGATATTTCTTTAATACGAATTTTTCACTACTTGCTACTCCATCAATCCTTTGCAGATACCTTAGATATCCTCTCAGTTTCGGTCTTTGGATTTTAGTATTGAAATTGTTTGATCTTGTTTTCGCAACTTGGTCGTATTGTCAAGGCCAGATAGCGTCTATAAAACGAAAGGAGACCGCGATCATATCAAAAGCCATATCATCTTAATCTTCATATCTTCTAATACTATCTACAATTCTACTTATATTTTATACCCTAGCCTTTTAAACTATTAATGTTGAATGCTCTCTTACTATTTACTCTTGTTTAAACTTTACTATGCCTTGGCCCTTAGTATTAGTGACTCACCACTCATTCTATTCTTGCTTGGCGCCTACCTGATGACAACATGCTTTCTGTGTCCTTCATCCGCTGCCGCTCTCATTCAGAGCGTGCATAAAACTGCTGTCATCACGCCAATTCTGCTTTCAACTTTACAATCTTACGAAGCCGGGGGATCTACCGAAGCAGGAGATACTGAGACTCGTACTTCCCTGGCAGCCGAACGTCAACGCCTTTCTGAGACATTTGGTTCAGAGTCTATTTGTATCCTCGTGAGTAAAATATTGATTTCCTGATAGATTGTTCTTTAGCTAGATTTCATACCTAAAATAAATATTATATAGCCGAGCTGATTTGATAGCAGATCATTTTTGGCTCAATTAAGCTCTTTAGAATCATTCTTTTATGCAGTTTAGGGTAACTTCTTGCAATCGCCCTATTTAAGTTGCATGATCTAGTTTTCGCAACTTGGTCATGTTGTCAGGACACTTAGTTGGACGCACCCTGTCCGAAGTCCTCTACTATAGTAGTTATCATACCTCCCAGTGTCGGATTGTTGACTTGGTACATTAACATACGTCTCACTGTCATCGTAGTCGGCATCACTCATGGTCCTGAGAATGTACCAAATCCATGGTATTGCTGGTAATTATAATAGCCACTATAGAAGAGGACTTCAGACAAGGGGCGTCCAACTAAGTCGCCCTGACAACAGGAAAAAGGGATTCGTAAGTTGGTTCCACCGTAGGCTGTTGGGGGTTTGCCTTAGAGCTGTGCTTGTAAATTTGTGCCAATATGTACTCGGTGCATCACCCTTCGACCCTGATAAATGATTGTTGAGCTTTCGTCCGTCATGTGACGGACATCGTCAGAGCAGGACACCACGGTTAACGATAATTTACCAAAGAAAGAATGTCGGCTTCAAACTGACTTCTTTCTTATAGTCCAGAATTCTCAAGCTGGATGGGAAACTAACTTGAGGCTAAAGATCCCGAGTAATTCCCATGGTTTAGCATTTGCTTCATGGACCACGTCTATGATCAAAAATTTCTATTGCTAATGTTTGAAGAGGCGAGTGGACTATAGGAAAGAAGTATTTTTAAAGCCGGTCACCTTTCTTGCCTTTGCTTTTTTGGTGAATTATCATTAACCGTCCTGCTCTGATGATGTCCGCCACATGACGGATGAAAGCTCAGCAAGGATTCCTCGGGGTTGCAGGGCGGTGCGTCGAGGACCTATTTGCACAAATCTATAACCACAGCAACAAGGCACTCCCCTATAGCCTCCGAATCTATTTCACTCGCCTCTTCAAACGAAATGAAAACTACTCCAATATCAACCTATTAAGGGATTCTTCGAAACCCACTTTTTTTTATACCTTAGTCTGATATTGCTTTATCTTATTTTCTTTGCATCTTTCTCAATCAGATTGTCTTAATGTTGTTATCATGTTCTGATGAGGAAACTTGTTATGCAAAAGGCTACTTTAACACAAATGGCCCAATACGCATATAGGCTCTGAGATAGAATCATATATAATATCAAATAATTGTCCTAAATTTGATATCTTTTTTTCATAGGGGGCTGTGTAAAATTATATATATATATATATATATATATATATATGTAATTAAAAAGGCTAGCGAGCTAGAACTTTCAAGCAAAACATGTCTTTTTTCGGTATAAGTAGCTATCGGGGTGTCGTTTTGAGTGAAAAATTCATCTTTGCTTAATCGTCAATCCCACTATAAATGTGATTTGGAAGAGCTCTGGCTTGTTATATGTCTAGTGACTGATATCCGATCCCGCTTGGGATGTTGATTATACTTAGGCGAGGTCGAAACTGCTGTCCATTCTGGATGAGATAGCCTTTTTGGAGGCAATGAACTTGAGAAGCCCACTTCTTATTGTAGGAAAACCCAAACCACCTAAAGCGAACGTGGGTGGCTAAGTCTTTGGCTTACCGTCCTACGACCTTGATGAACCCGTGCTGAGCCTTGGTCGTCGACTGCACAAATATCGTCAAAGCGAATAGTGCTGAAGATTAGAAAGCAGGTGCTTAGTATTAAAAAACACTTATTTAGATTGTTGAGGTATATGCTTAATTTTGGGGATTTAAAGTTTCACTTAAAACAGTTATTCGTAAAAATGTGCTAATTAAAAATATAATCAGAAAATGGAGTGCGTAACTATGCTGATTTAATTATATTTTTACTAATGATAATTATTTCGTAGCTGTGAAGACCAAGATGATGTGGCCTTCTGTTTGGTCACAGTCTTCTTTAGCTTGGTTCGACCTCGTTTTCTCAGCTTGCTCAGAGCGTCAGGAAGACCCTGTTAAACGTACCTAGTCCTTTGTCCTCTTTTATAGTATTCGTGATCTCCAGGATTAGACCAGTGACTTGGCCCACCCCAAAACGTTTCGCACGCATCGTCCACACGGAGTTACAACTTATCAACTTGATATATGCGAAGAAAAGTTGGGTTTCGAGGAGTCTCTTGTTTTGAAGGTCGGTTCCACCAGAAGACGATGGCGGATTCCTCTTGACCAGCTGTAGATTGGCTTTACTGGAAGATTTATGCTGACGCTGTTTCCGAGGAAGTTTTCGTCGATCCGGTGAAAAGGTGCTAAGCTTCCCTCCGTCATATGACGAACATCATCAGAGCAAGGTATCATCGTCACAACCAAATTCAAGCTAACAAGTCTCTTCACCCAACACTTTCACTCGAAATTGAAGTAAGCTCCACAATTTTCAACTTGACTGATAAGTTGTAACTTTGTGCTGACGATGTCACCTCTCACGGACGATGCCGGCTAAATGTTTTGGAATGGACCAAGTCAATGGTCCAATGCTGGAGATCACGAATACTATGACGAAGGATACAGGACTAGGTACGTTCTACGAGGTTGATTTTTTGTCATGATTCTTTCGCTTTAAAAATTATTTCAATTTCTGATATCACATTTATTTTGTATTTCTTTGGGCGCAAATCGCCAAAATTATA